AATTATTCAGAACGAATAAAGGTTTCGGAGAGTTTCTAAACCCTCTCCGAAACGCAGTTTTATGTAAACTCCTAAACCCTTATTCGTTCTGTACGGTTTCATTTTCCTGAACCCTTAAAAGTTTTTTAAACTAAGCTTTTTTTTAGAGTGTAGAGATGCTTGAGCGAATTTATCCATCAGTAAATGTGATCCAGTAGAAAGGAGTTTTAACGAGCGAAGAAGTGACCAACCGGAAGTATTATTTGTTTCATCACTCGTCTCACGATATTGTACAATTGCTAGACTAGCTGCGACCGTATTCGGTTCGCGATCAGCTCGCATTCATATTTCGCTAACAAGTTATTTCGCCAATGTCAATGAAAATTCAGGAAATTCCGGAAAACATTCTTCCCATTGATTATTTTTGAGTACACTAAGAACTTTAATAACCATATTGGTAGAACGTTTTAGTTGTTGTACTTTATTGAAGACTTTTCGAAGATGTGCTAACATAAGAAGTGTATCTTGTGCATTTGCATTCACATGACTATCGGTTGTCTCTGCCACGGCCGACGGTGATGTCATCGATAACGATGATGCGCCACCATCACGTTTAGTCAACAGGGACTTCAAATATTTACTCATCGCTTTTGCAAATCATTTCGATAGATCATCATCATCATATCTCAAAATTTATATTAACATGAGAAACAAACAAACAAAAATGTTATCCGGAAATTATTAGTCAAATAATCACTTAAGCATCAGAAGAGACAAAAATTAGACTCATTCTCTCTCTCTTTCTCTCTTGATGGGTGGATGCTCGCGAGCGGCGGTATATATTGCATTTTGATTACAATAATACCTTATTCTCATGTGTAGTATTCAACAGGCAACAGAACTCAACAACGCACGATGACTGTTTTAGATCGGACAATAGGTCACGCAATTCCTTTGTTTATTTAATACTTTCTTTCCCCTCTTGATGTGTAAGCAACCTTGTGAGGCAACCATGAGCGCATTATGCTAGTTAATAATTGTATTCTGTTTCGTTTTTCATATTAACATACAAGAAATATCTAGGTCACTCCGATGTGCCCTTAGAAGGATGATATCGCACACTATTGTACATT